GCAAAGAATACTTACTCTCATACAATATACATATGTTGTTGACGATCTCATATATTTTTAGTTGTTATTGTCACTCGTTATTGTTATCTTCTAAAAATTCCAAAAAGAAACAATAAAAAAATACAGGTTCCGATATTTATTTGTTTTTTCTAATTTAGTTTTTTAAATACGATTTATCTAGCAGGGAAACCTTTGGAACTAATGGATTTGTGTCTGTACCTAATATTTAGAGAGCGGAATTATAAGCACAAAAAAATTAAGAATAAGCGCTTAAATAAGCACAACATTTTCAATAAAAAAGTTTTATTTTAAGCAAAAAAGCATTAAATAAGCATAACACTTTCATTAAAAAAGTTTTATTTTAAGCAAAAAAGCATTAAAAACATAATCATATTACAAATCAAAGAACACTTCTTAGAACTTTGGATAAAATATTATTACAATAATCCTAGACTTTATATTTTACACACGTATTTCAGTTTTCTTTAAAACAATTTATGATTGTAATATGTTCCAAGTTGTCCACTGTAAAATTTTTTCGTCGATCATTTAAAATGTGTTCAAAATTGGAGAATGTGCGTTCAACATCCACACTCGTTGTTGGCGCAAATTCGAATTTTGCAACTAATGTTGAATCTAACTCCAAATTTTCCACCTTCTGGCCTTGTAAAACACGAGCAACGTCGGAAAGAACACCGAAACCTGCATTTTTATTTAACACTTCGTCAAGTTTTTGAGATACTCTAGTACCAATATCACCCCTTACTGTGTTTGCTTGTTGTTTAAATTCTTTCACTACATTTATGGCATCCACCAACAACATATTGGGTTTTTCTAACTTTTCTATTACCTCACATACGAATTGATAATTGCTTCCTAGAAAAGCTAGATCTTGTCGCAAATCTTTGTTTTCCAAAATATTTATGCAATCTTTAATCGATTGAGAAGAATCTTCGCTAAACTCCGTAACTACTTCCTCAAATTCTTTGATATATTTGTCATAATAAAATGTGGCCTGTAACCATGTTCCCTACCTCGTTATAATCGGCTCTGGGGGCAATGGTATGTTTGGAAATTTTTCCTTAAAATGTTGCACTCTTAGTGGGGTTTTAACAAAAATCTTTTTACCATTTGCCACTAATTTATTAACAGTAGGAAACTGCAAACGTATTCCTTCAGCCACTCTGTTTAAACCGTGGGCAATGCAAGTAGAGTGAATTAAATTGGGGTACAATATTTTTAGATTATTTCCTGCTTTCAACATATAACGAGCTGCATCCGAGATCATCAATAAAATTTTATTCGCCGGTACGGCATTTGGCAAAAATTAAAGCACTATATTAATACAAGCAGACGCAAGCAATAAAAGTTTGCATCTTAGGAACTTTTACGCTGTAAGATTTTCGAGTCCTAGGTTGGTATGTTGATATATCGTTACTGTTTTGTGGGTGGTACACATCTTTGACACACAGTTGACAGATCAACGTGTTTGAAATAAAGGTTAGTCTATGAGGTTAGTGCAATATTTACACTACAGATAAAAAAATTGAAGTTCTACACTTTGCTAAATAATGTATACATATGTTATGCATATTACAAATTTTAATGTAATCCCTACAATACACACTTTCCGCCATGAAAAACGGGCGACCCGCATTTATAGAACATGATAAAAATTCAATAATCAAAGTGTATATATAATAAATTAATATTTAATTTTGAAAAATTATAATGGCGGAATTTTTTCATCGTCGCTAAAATTTAACAAAAGGAATCACATATGTTTGTAATCTGAACTTTAAACAACAAAAGGCTAAGCAAATTATTGTTTTTGACAGTGACGTTTCGTACTCGGAATAATAACTGGAATGTTACTAGATTTCAAATTTCCCACTAAAATTCTGGGATTCAATATGGCGGATGCGTCTGCTTGTATAATAAAGTGCTTTAGCAAAAATAGTGACGTAAGACTGTCATTTACAAATCTGGTAATCGTATTGCCATTTGTTTTATCTAACATTTTCAAACTTACTACATACCCTCGACTAGGGAAATTTTCATTTAAGATTCCAACAATTAAACTTGCCACGTATCTTCCACAACTATCGGTTGTTTCATCGACAGCGAACCATAAATAATTATCTCCAATGCGATGTTTAATTTCGTTGTAAACTTGCTGAAACACTGGGCCTACATAATTTTTTCGGAGAGTCCTTTCAACCGGAATATGTCGATTGCAGTGTTCTTGAAGAGGGCCTTTCTCCAATTTTTTAAAGGTATATTGGACTGTATCATCATTTTACATAAATCGAAATTAAACTGAAACTGCTCATCTTTTGTGGAAGTAGATGCAACAGATTCATGTATGGTCTGCTGTTTAATTTTAGAAACTTCAAACATTTTCTTCCTTTCTACATGAAGAGTCGTTCTGACATGTTGTGTCACGTTATATTTTTTATAACTTTGAATCTAAAACAACTTACATATACAGGATTAACAAAGGAAAATAGATAAAAAAAAATTAGTGGGCTTAAGGTTTTCACACAAGCTCTGCAGAATATTTTGTTGCTTTCTAATTTTAATTCTGGAAAATCTCTTATCCACTTATCCGGCGTCGATTTTACTTTCGGCATTCTTTTAAAATATTAGTAATATTACCAAAAAGAACTCAACATGTAACAAGGGAGAACCACGTATAACACTGTACTACGACAGATGCGATAGACTGATGGTTGTGAAATAAACGGTTCATTTACTTAAAAGTTTCCATTAGAAAAATTTTAAGGTAGGCAGTTGGGTACAATAATCCTTTTTTCTAGAAAATTTTCAACGGTCTTGCCGCAAAATGCCGAAAAAAAACATCCGGTTAAAAGCTTTAATTCATTATCAGCGGAAGTAAGGATTTAAAGTCATAAAATCTATGGAGTATTTTTCCAATCCTATAATAAAATTTTATTAACAAACGACCGGAACCTATTCACAGAAAGAGTCTTGAGTAAGTGTACTTCAATGGTCAAGTCCAGGTAAAATGCATACGATACGATACGCCTAACTAACAAGTATTTGTCATCCCGACAAGGCCGGCACTTGAACAAAATATGCATTAAAACTCATATTTGTCGAAAAAAGCATTAAATAAGCATATAAGTTTTAATATGCATAAAATTGAAAAAAAAGCAAATAAGCATAAAAAAAATGTGTCAAATGACTCCAAATTGTATCATAGTTACAGATACAAAAAAGTTTTGAAGTGCTTACATTTTTCACAAAAAGCATTAAACCTAGAAATCCGCTCTCCAACTAATATTTCTAAGTCAAGAGTTCCACAGGGATCCCATTTTGGACCTGTGCTTTTCCATTTACGTCAAAGAATTAGTCGCATACTCCTACTCATACACTCATGTATGCTGATGGATGATGATATAAAATTCTTCCGTGAGATAATTACAATTGTTCATTATAACATATTACAATATATATTTTAAATTCTTCACTAGTGGTGTGCGTTAAACAACATTCCTCTAAATCTCTCTAAATGTGTAGTCATATCTTTAACACGTTGCGTCAACTAACTGCTTTATAACGTTGAACCTATTGCAAGAAAAATATGTTTTGTATTTTTTTAATAATGATGTTAATAGTTTAATTGGGAAATCTTACAGATTATAATCATCAAAAATTCACAAGACCGAAAAAAATTGCTGCATAGAAACTGCTCCTAAGAACAGTTGCGTATGATGTTTAATATGGAATAATTACAATGCAGAAGGATCATTTCAGTTATATTGTTTTTTCATAAACTTGTAAATAACAAAACCGTCTGTCACCATTGTTAAATCTAGGTTTGTTGCATCTAGACAGAGTTCTAGAAATGACCTAGTTTTGTATCGCTTTTATGTGTCAAATACAAATGTAAGTTTAAAAGCGCCATTTTCTGTTGTATCGAAATAATTGTGTTGATGACTTAAGTAGTGATTACGACGTAAATTTGTGTACTAGAGCATTGGTCATAAAAGATAAATACAGTTTGGTGTTACAGTACTGAAGTTGGTAAATTAATGTTTATTTATATTTCAGAATCATGAAGTTTGTTAAGGTGTAATTTAATATTTAGTTAAAATAGTAATAAAATTATAGGAATTATAGTTGGTGTATTTAATTAATATGTGCTAATATTGCCTTGTAACTGAAAAAAATTCTATCTATTTATTATTCTTGAGACAATTTTAATAAAATAAATTTAATTCTTTAATTCGTAGAAATTTAATTAGTGTCTCAATTTTATTGCATTCTTTGCTGTTTTTGGGTGAATATGGATTCTAATTCTGACGAGGAAAGCTTCGGTGAAAATTGTTGAAGTAACAAATGCTATAAACCTAGATTTATTACCTCTGAAAGTAGAACAGTTTCAATGTTTTTTAAATTACAAAAAGAAAATGTACAGCATAGGCAAAGGGTAAATAAAAACTAGCTGAAATTCGTTGCAGAACTGCTTCGTGAAGCATGATGTAAGAGGTATATTCTCACTCATTTGAAAGTGAAAATTGAGAGCAGTTGTAGAAGATTGTAATTAAAATGCCATGTGGAAAATCATGTTATTTATGTAAAAATTGTGACCTTGAAGATACTGCTCTTTAAATCTTTCCTCAGAATTGCCGTAAATAATAGTGAATTACTTTGTGACAACTTCAGACGGTATGGATATTAATTTTTGCATGGAAAAATAGTAGTAAATATACTGTCATAGCAATCAAATGTTTGTGAAAGTAACTGTAATTTATTATGATACAGTGTCGAGCAACCACCGCTTAAAAAAATTCAAAAAAATTGGGTAATTAAATTTTTGTTGTAAATCTTTTTTGTCCAATATTTTTAATGTAGGAAAAATCTTCTTTAGTTCTTCTTCTTAAAGAAGAAACAATTATCTTCCAAACGTTAATTACATTAAACAAAAAACCTGCGTCCTACTAAACGTACAAGAAAAGGAACTTTAAATTTACCTGGCACATCCTCAATCTCTTAATTAGAGGACTCTCATATTTAAGTCTGTCGTATTCAGCACGTGAGAACATAAATTCTTCAACGATCTCTTCTTCTTCTCCTTCTTCTTCTTCCCCATATTCAATAGCCTTAAGAACTGCCAAGTCTATATCTTCGCCTCCTTCTTCTTCTTCTTCTTCTTCTCCTTCTTCACCTTCATCTGATTCTTCATCCATGTAAATATCAGCGTATATGTAGGAATCATCGGGAGGCAAGAATCTGCTAACGGGGTTACATAATTTTTCGTACGGTTTTCTAAATACGTGGCCGTTTTCTATCGAAAGTCCAGACGGAGGATCGGGGGTATCGTCAGAGTACAAATGTGTCGGAATGTGTACTTTGGGAATTTTAATCTGCAACAGGTGTCATTATTAACGTTTATACTTTTACGTAATTTCGCTTACCTTGGCGCGACGTTGTGCTATTAATTTCTTACAGTGTCTTTCGATCATCATTATAGGATGATCGGCCATGCTTTCTGGAGCATCGCGTAGTGGAATCCTTCCGCTTAGTACTAAGTTTTTCACTCGTTCCATCTCTTCATTCTAGAAGTGGGATTAAAGCATTAAATTTAATGTAAACTAAGATTTTCACGCAGATGCGAGATTTTCTCGGTTTTGTAACAAAATATCCTGCACATACAAAAAAGGTAATGACGTAAACGAAATTCCATTAATCACACTAAAGAAAACCGAATGCAAAGTTTTTCTTTTAAAGAACATCCCTGACATAGGGCAAAAAGAACTTACTCGTATTTTTTTAAACGCCTGATTTGCAAGTTGATTGAGTTTAGCATGTAAAATGAAAAATTCAGTTCAAACACCTTTTAGCGTGCACGCCTGTGAATTAATTCTCTACAGTTTTCAACTTTCTTAAAACTAAAACATTATTAGATTGGATCGTTCATCAAGTAATGCACCTATCAAAAAAGATTGAGGTTTCTACTTTGAATGAATAAAATCATTAAGTTTCACTCGTTTAAATGGTTTTGTCAGTAATGAGAAAACTCCGGAAATAAAGTGAATTAGGTGTAACTAAAGAATTTACAAAATTCCGCTCAGAAGAAAACATTAACCTAAATGAGTTTTGTGCAAAGCTTAATTCAATTCATAAGCTGAAAAAAGCAAGTTAATAAATCCTTTCATTTAAATTCTATTAAACTTATAGTCTTATAGTTATTCATATCTTTATATTATGGTTATTGTTATTATAAATGTTTCTTACATCGTATAGGTGGCTTAAAAAAAGTTGAGATCTATCGATTTGCCGCTTGGGGTTTTTGTTGAAGCCACCTACGATGTAAGAAACATTTATAATAACCTGTATTTGACAGCCACAATTAGATATGATTTATTCCTTTTAAACTATTAAATTCAATAAACGTGCTGTATAGGGCACATGATTCGAAAACTATTATCAATCCGTTCCATTAACATACTGCTCTAATCTACAAAATTAAGTAGTAAATACGTTGACATTTTTTTGACTTAAACAAACTAATATAGTATCTACAACGCAAATTAAAATATTTAAAAAAGAAAATTAAAATTTCCTCTCAAACATTTTAGGAAACATTTTAAATTTTAAAATACATATCGCACTGTGAGAGCAATACTCACGTAACTCAAAACCAGCGTGTTTTGAGTAATGATGATTTAAAATTTCCAAGTTTTTATATATTATTTGTATCTTAAATACCAAAGGCTTCGAAATACATTATAGTCGTATTGTCAATCTATTATTAATCGTGTTTTCATTCCTTTAGAGTAGAACCTTCTACTCGTTATAGAAAACAAGAAATTTTGACTTACGTGACTATTGCACTGGTACACCATATCAAATATTTTGGCTTGCGTGTTAATAAATTTAAGACAAGAGCAAACTAGCAACACATTGTAATGAAAAAATATAACAAAACACAAAACGATCACAGTATTAATTCATTCAACATCTACACTGACCGGCAAAAAAAGCGGCCACCCTGAAAAATTTCGCAAAACCATTTTAATTAAAATTTATTAATTTAACTAGTGATCGTTATTTTATTAAAGAATCATTCACTATTGACACATGATGTACAAATTAGCACAAAAAGAAGACAATTAAACGCAGAATTAAATTTAATTTAACAAAATAACGGAAACAGACCACGATATTTTCTTAAAAAAAAAACAATAAAGGAGGCTGTTGTTGTAAATAGTATTTTTCATCATTTGATTATAAGTTTGGCAATTAATAAACGTTTTAACGCGAAAATAATTCCGTTAACTCTTACAGACGTCTTTCAAAATGTCGCTGTTTCTGTTATTTTGTTAAATTAAATTTAATTCTACGTTTAATTAGCTTCTTTTTTTTGCTAATTTAATTCTGCGTTTAATTGGCTTCTTTTTTTGCTAATTTATACCTTATATGTCAATAGTGAATGGTTCTTCAATAAAATAATGATCACTAGTTAAATTAATAATTTTTAAAGCTTCGTTTTGCGAAATTTTTCAGGGTGGCCGGTTTTTTTGCCGGTCAGTGTACTATGGCTAAATTGTTATAAAATGTGTTATAATTTTATTTTTCGCCTCCTGACATGTAAACAAAACATTCATACACCTTTGACATGCCGCGTAGCAATGACTTTACGCACCAAATATCAATTTACCGTTGCTTTACCGCCTTTGGGTGCCAAAGTAATTCAACATGCATTAGCCTCTAGAAGCTCTAATAAAAAAAGTTCTGTATAAATAATAAAAGAAAACATACTAGAATACTACTTTACATCATGTTTTGTTGGATCAAACCTTTTGAATGAGAAAAAATGAATTATTAAAAAAAAAATCACATGGCGCCATCTCGTGGCTGCCGGTATTATAGATTCCTTCAGTAAACGTCAAGTCTATAAGCTGTCACTTCATTATTTCCATTTCGAAAAATATTTTTAAAAACAAATATTTTTTAAAATAAAATCAATGTCGGCGAAAAAATTTAATACAATTTTCGTGCGTTAGGCATTTTGCAGGTTTCGGTCCCATGCCACCCTCCGCTTCGCGTCGGGTGGCAAATTAGGACCTCAACCTGCAAAATGTTACCTACCGCACTCATAATGTAAATAACTATTAATCCATTTTTTTATACATAATTGATTCAGTCCATCGTATTTTTTTGCGTATTGCTAAAGCATCTTCATAAATATTGTTTAATCATTTTCATTTAAGTCTGATGCCGCCGTTGTCGTGATGTTCGGGAATTGATTGACTATTATTTCTTGATATACTTTCTTTCTATACGAAGTGCAACTCGGCTCGTCCTACCAGTGTTTTTTGTAAACTGGTTGATACGACAATGTGATACCGAATTGTACTTTGATATTGCTCGAAGAACCTTTGTTTTATTGTTTATTCATTATAATAATTCCATTTATTTACCATAAACTTTTAAACGAAATCAAATCTACTTGACTAGAAATAACGGCAAAGTTGTGTTAGGCTCATCTGGCAACGTTGTAAATTATATAAATGTTTACTATGAGATTTTTACATATTTTTTTCGTCCCTCTATCGAGTGGTAGATTTATTAAATGTATCGTTGCTGTGATTTGGATTGCCTATGCGCGTGATTGGTGTCCAAGCTTTCGCCGGCGTTTGACAGTAGTATAGCCACTAGATTACATATAGTAGCGACATCGGGTCACTAACTGGTCCCACTAGTGCTGCCAACTTAAAATCCAGGCGAAAAATGGCGCCTCCTTTAAATTAAAAATTGTGTAAAATTAAAATTTGATACACAAAACAGGAAAAATTGTTATTATTAATATATTTATATATATTAATTATTGATTTTAACGCAAATCTCCACACGAATAACAGAACATACTTACTTGCAATAAACAACAAAATGATCTTTTGAGTTTTGACAACAAAACAGGCTTTGACTCTGTGCTACGTTGTAGTATATGAATCTCTCCAAGAAAATGGGGCAAAAAAAAAGCATATGTATCTCCTATTATTTTTATTCATAGACTTTGAACTGTACACTATTGTTCTGTTATTTTGGTTACGTTTTTTTACATAAAAATACACCCTACTTCTTATATATAATTTAACAATACTTTCAATTATGTTATTGCCGCAGGTACAAAACATTGTTTTTTCCAAACTGTTGAGTACCATATTGCATATTTGATCATTTTTAATGTTATTGTTATTTAGAAGATGTAAAGTGTTTCGAAATATTTTTTCCATCTTCACAAATCGGCATTTTTATTGAATTTAACGCAAATCTCCACACGAACAACAAACACACGCACTTGCAATTAACAACAAAATGGTCTTTAGAGTTTTGACAACAAAACATGTTTTGACTTTTTGTGCTACGTTGTTTACACCAGGGTAGACAACACAAAACACAACCAAAACATCTGACATTTAGTTACTTCAGTGCAACCAACACAATTTGGGACCAGCCAGGAGACCCAGGTGACGCTACTATATGTAATCTAGTGGCTATAGACAGTAGAATGTTGGTGCGCCATCTCTTGTTCGCCGGCCTTTGGCCTGTTCGCTCCAAACAATAGCATGGGTCTATCTATATGTATTTAATCAATGACACATAGGTCGCCACACTAACATCTCACTAACACGAGGTATTGAGTTGTTGACTTACTTGGTATTTGAGGCAAGTGATATCGAATTTTTCATCCATTTACCGATTTTTGTTTGTCCATGTTTCCATACAAATCATATCACTAATGTTTTTTTTATCAATACTTTTTTTTCAGCTAATTGGAGATTGCAGAATGAACTGTATATTTGTAAAGATGAAACAATTTATATTTTCAAAATTGTGTATGAACCGGATATCTCTAAGTGGAGGTCAAAAATTAAATTAAAAAAGGTTTGAGGTCGAACTCCATATTAATGAACTTAGTGTTTTATTCAGTGCTGTTTTCTGTTAAAAATTTAATTGCATTCGATTTAACACGCTGAATAGGAGAGTAGCGGTTTCTCAAAACATGTCCTTGTTTTAATAAAACACTAAATTCATAAAGTTCGACCTTTCTTAAATACATTAATTTATGTTTTATTTAAAAAACGAGAGAAGGCAAGACATAGTTGGGGTAGAAGCACGATTGTTACTACCATTGTTAAATTAATGTCAAATATTCGACAATATTGTTTTAAATATATAATATGTATTACCAATTAAGCGCTTTTAAGTGACTTTTTACTTCCAAAGTGTTTGCCTGAAAATTAATTTCGTGTTTCATTAACGTTTCATAGTTCTTAGAATATTAATATACATGAAAAGTGTAAAATCTAATCAAAATTTTATCTCCACTAAACAATTGATAAGGTCATCTCAAAATTTCCGTAAGTAAGTTCTATTGAATAATAATATATTTCTATACTTATATGTACTTAGTTTATTACTCCATCCTTACTCTAAACTTTACATGCTTTAAAATATCATAAAATGATAAATTGCACATCAGAATCTATCTGTTTGTCCCTTCCAAACATTTGATGACGTCATCTCATTTTTTTATGTACTTCGTGTT